ATGATCGGCAAATGATCGGCAAATGATCGGCAAAATGATCAACAAATGTGATAATATGAAGTATGTCCACCCTGCTGCTATCGCTATGGGTAAAGAAACTTTTTCGAAATCCATATCTTATGAAGATTTTCATGAAAATTAAACATTGATAGATCATACATCCCAAATGCGAATTTCATTTCGGACAATAACGGCCAAAACAGTTCTAAAAATGTCAAATGAATATTCCAAGATTTTGTTCACTTCAATATCAAGAAAGGATCTTTTTTATCAAAATTCTTTATTGAACAGCATCATGAATATTACATTCGCTGCATTTTGTTAAAAAAAAATGGAAAAAAAAAGATATGAATTGATTAATTTATATATTTTTTTTTATTTAATAAAGATTCTTATAATTCAATGAAGTAGATGAATAAGTTTATTGGGACGAAGTCTCACAACTATCGCAAATCTAGTTTTTATTGTAATTTTTAAAATTCAATTACATTTCCCGTGATATATTTTTTTATAAAACCAAATTTTTCCTAAAACAACTTTAATACAAAAAAAAATAATTTTCGATTTTTAAAAAAACGAGATACCGTAGATGCAATGCGCTACTTTTTGAATGATAAATTCAATCTTCATTGTGCTATTTTACTTGAGTAATTTCAACAAAGAGCCATATGAGCACGCACCCTTGCACGCTCACATGTAAATGTAAAAAAAAATATCACTTTGATAGATCGCTATATTTGATTAATCCCCCAATTTTTGGGTAATTTTTATAATCTTATCGCATTTTCTTTGAAAGGCTTTTATATTATATTTTGAGGCCAAATATATTATAGGAAATGATTTGTATGAAAAAAAGCCTCATTGCTATTTAGGGCAATTCATTGTAATTTTTGTAGGGTCCTGGTAAAAGAATAAATTTTTTTTGCCTTGACCGGATCAAATTTATAGTTTGTCAAAATTTTTATTTAAGGACAAAAAAATTTCTTATATTTTTAAAAAAAAAAATAAAAAGAAAATCCAAAGAAAAAGAAAAAAATTAGCTTTCTGCTTTTCTTAGCATAATTTTATTAAATCCTTTCAAAATGACATCCTCAATTCCTCATACATGATCTTCGAGTTTCACGATCGGAAGGTGAATCGACTTTGGTTTAAAATTCCAGTGGGTTTCTTTGGAATTTTGAATTACAAAACCTTCTTCGCCTGCCTTCCAAATGAGTCAAAATTATTGGCACAAGAGAATGGAATCATCATTGCAATCCCCAACTTATGTTGAATTCATCAAAAACTTAAAGAAATGACAGTTCAATTCTTATGAGACATTCTAAAATTCTACCGAACTTTCCCGAAAACAAAGCAGCATTAATAGTACAGAAAACTAAAAATGATAATGAAGCATTCATTAAAGATTCGAACGCGACTTGTTCTTTCTTGGAATACAATGCACTATACATACCATATAACACCTTTCCTGGAGCAGAAGTTTTTCTTCAGAAATTTACAAATTAATTTGTGATTCATCTATAAATTCCGAATATTGTTCTCGACTTACCGATATCTGCAATATTATATGATAAATTGAATAAATTATTTCTGTTCAACAAAATATTAAGGATTTGAGATTATTTTCATAATAAATATCGACTCCAATTAAAATTTTTAACATTTAAATGCGCAGATATACCTCGGGATTATTTATCAAAGTCACGTCAAATTTTAACGTAGCCAGTTTCTGCCCGAGATAAAAATTGTAAATTCATCATTTTCGGAAGAAGATAAGTTCAAAGGCATTCTTAATGATTGTCAGGAATTAAATTTATAAATATATTGAATCATATTGTTTTAGCGTTAGCGTATCTTTTATTTTTATTTTATTCTACAAAAAAGAAGGATGAGCGGCCATTTTGAAATTTTATTAAATTTTGGGGAAATATTAATAATCTTTATCACCTTTTCATATGAAAAAAAATAAATAAATAAGTTAAATTTTTTTTGTTTTTAAATATTTCAAACCAAGGAAACATTATAGTGGAAGCAGTAATTTTTACTAAATTTTATATATTTTTTAAGATTATTTCATTTGGATGTAAGTTTTAGATTTAATACAAGTCATCAGGAAGTTTAAAATACGTAATATTAATAAAAATTATTTTATATTATTTATATAAATATAATACGTAAAAATACGGTTTATACACATATA